CATCCTAGATAAAACAAGGTTTCCAAGTTACATAGTGTCTACAGCAGTCCATGTAAGTACAGGCCTGCAGATAAAACTGCTGGATCAGATTGGACTACATTACATTCCTTTTTTTGTCTTGTTTATTTGTCACATCAAGACAAGATTGTTTCACACGCCCACTTCTCAGTAATCCAGTAAATGCAACAGATAGAAACAGTAAAATACCTAAGCAAAAATTAAGCGCAACTAGTGCCTGTGCAGGCCTGAGCAGTGTTGCACTGCCAACCCTGTGCACCACCTCCCTTGCATAACACCACACTGTCACACCAACTCCAGTTGCTGTGCTCCACAGCAGTCGGTAGCCTTTGTGATGGCTGCTTCTTGTGACTGCCTTTGGTTGTTGGGGGTCTTTCATGGTGAAAAATCATTAGTTTAAAGGAGCACCACCAAAAGGTTCTTTACAGCCCTACGTTACCCTACCTTCTTCTGTTGTGCTGCATTTGAGGTCCTGCTCAGACCTTGGGTCATGCTCTAACGATCAGTGCCAGTGGGCTGAGCCACAGTGCTACCTGCTGGTTAGGATATTACCCACCAAATCTGTACGAAAATCTTTGGCTTCACCACATGTGGAAAATTTGTGCCAAAACTCGCGTAGCATTTTTTTTGTACTCATAGGAAGAAAACCTTGTACTTGGAGGAAATATTTTGACATACTTGTAAATAGAGTCACACAATTATTTATTTATTTATTTATTTGTCTTGTAAAGATTTTGTAAAGAAATATGTTTTGTACTCAAAGGTAAGAGATGTATTTTTATGCAAAGCACATATTCTTTGCACATGAATAGAATTGTCTTTGTAAAACACATTCTCTTTGTTTGAGAAGTTTTGGCAGGAACTGAACCCACAAAATTTCATAGTCCTATGAAAAAGTCCCATAGCGCGATACGTTGAAGGGGGCACTACTGAGTCATTTTTTTGGTCCATGTACACACGCTTTAAAATACGCTTCTGGAGAGTTGTGACATTGAAAAAGAGAAGAGGAAGAAGAAGAAGAGGAAGAACTTTATTGATCCCTGAAGGGAAATTCAATAGGGAGAGCCGTATCAAAATAACAACTGTAGTGGCAGAATTCTCTCTTTAAACAGTCTTTAAAGCCACTCGGATGAGATGAGCCCCACAATTGTACTGACGCGTGTCCAACTTCATTCATGAAATGACTCCAATACTCACAGGTCTGGTTTTTCCATTTATTCAGCTGATCACAGGTACCATACAGCTCACACCTTGTACAAAAATCAAAAAAAGCTCCCATTTCACTGTCAAAAAACATTTTGGTGCCGCTCATCTCAATCTGAACCAAACAAAAGACTGCCCAGCGCACCTGTGCCGGCTTTCCTATAGGGATTGCGACTCCACCCATAACATCCTCTAGACAGGTGTATCTGAATCTACTAATCAAAACAAACAACCAATTTAATTACTTTTAAATCATATATTTTTGGTCCTTAGATGTAATAATATTAACTGAGACTTTTGTTTGCTTAAAAATAACATTTTGGCAAGTCTAAAAAACTGCTTCTTCAACAAATCTAATAATAATAATAAATAATTCCTAGCATTACAATAGGTCGGCTCAGGCACTAATAATACATCAACAATGTCTGTCCCAGTCAAAACTGCCTTTTTCTGAGTATTGCATCATTTACAGTCCTGTAAGCAACTCCAGGAGCTGCCATGTGTGCACCCACAACAGCAGAAACTGTTAATCCATTTCTGCTGAGTCTCAGTTTTGCTGATAATGACAATACACAAACTTATCTATAATACAAGAACTTCATTGATCCCTGAAAGGGAAATTCATTGGATTGTAAGTTATGCAAAGACTTAACTCAAGTGGTATACATCTGATAATAAAATTAATTTACTTGTAATCAAGCAGCCTCCAGCATTAAGAAAAATTGAGCCAAAGTCAATGTGCACAAAACTGCTGTTGCTTTGGTGTCCACGAGAAGCAAGAAATTACGCTACCAATGTAGTGTTAAGAGGGGTTTTGGTTGCTGCTCATTTCTTCATCCATACTGTACTTGGTGTTAATTTTCCAATGAGTGTTCATTAAAGGTGTGGAACAAAGCCTTTGGTAACTGTAGACAAATACAAATCAACATATAACAGAGTGGAAGGCTGCACAGGAACCTTAATATGTGGTCTTTTGGAGTTGTTGGATGCCAGACTAGAAGAAGTAACTTCCACACTGACTCACCACTGCCTGTCAACTAAAACAGATTTTTTTGGTTAAATGGGACAGGGCAACATGACTAGATAGAGGAGATCATACTCCTCTATCTAGTCATACAGAAAATGGATTTACTGTTGTATGGATAAATGCTATTGTAAATAGATATCTTGGAGGCTTTCGGAGGAATGTTCAGTAAATAAATATCCAGCCATTCCACCTTTTCTCAGACCCACCAGATCATCCATCCACCAAGTGAGAGCGTATTGGTCAGTCAGTCTGCTTCTATTTATCAGTGTAAATATATCCAAATAACACTTTCAGTTTTCAGACATTTTGAGACTGATTTTAGAAAGCAGACCAGACTTCGTACATATGCAGGCAGGGCTTGACATTGGTTACATTGATTGTGTTCTGCATGCTTTCACTTTCTATACAGACACTTTTTTCTGCAGACACAAAAGCCTGTTTATATGCAGTTAGTTAACATCTGCCATTAAAAGTAGAAGTTTCATACAAACTTGTTCCCTTTCTACAGATTTGACATTTTTTCAGAATCCCTCAATGGTGCTTGGATGCAGATTTGCCTTATGCAAGTAGACAATCTTGAAGATTAGCAGAGGATGGTGCATCATTCTTTGTTTTTTGTCCTGCAGAGGTGACAGGTTTATTCTCAAGTGCACAGTTAAGTTATTACCATCACAATCAAACACACCTTTCCACACACCTCTGCATCACTGTAGCGTTCTCTAAACAACTGTCTGAAGGTAAAAATCTACTGAGCACGGAACTTATTCATAATTCACCCTTTGAGGTCTCTCTCGCTCACATAGAGAGGGCAATCAAAGCGCACAGTTGTTCCAAAGGGCCTCCAGCTGGAAACCCTGAGGTAAAGGAAGGGGGAAGGTGCGACAGAGAGGAGGGAAGAAAGACATGGAGAGAGAGGAAGAGGTGTACCTGTGTTCTAGACTGATGGAGGTCAACAGGCTGTCATTGCCAAAAGCTGCTAATGGAACATGCAGTACGTGAATGCAGCACCTTGTGGCTCTGCTGGAAGTGGAGCAGACTCCACTAAGTTGTCAGAGTTGTAGCAGAGGCCGAGGTTAGAGTGGTTCAGAAATGTTTTTAGCCACGCAGTGAAAGAGAATCTTTTATTTTATTTTATTTTATTTTTTTGTGATAATACATTGACTAAAACTGTCAATAATGCCTTAAGATGTAATATATGGTAACTGAGTCACATCCCTACTTTAATCATTGAAAAGTTATAACTCCAAAATGAAGAAAAGGGAGGACACAAGTGCATTTAGATAATGACACCCATTTATCTTTAATACTTTCTAAAACCCGGCTTATACATTACTCACATGGAAGCAGCAAATGAAAACAAAAAAAATCTTAAAAGCATCATGATATACTCTCCTCTTTTAAATGACTAGCATTTAATGACTAAGCATTAGGAGTGTCACAAAATATCAATATGGCGAACTATCATGATATTTAACATAATGATGGATTATTGAGGCACACTCACGCATATCAATTTTTTTGTATGATCATTAAACCATATCTGTTACACACTTCTTTCACCGTTCCTCCTTAGTAAATTAAGTCACTGTTTCAAATTTCATCTAGGGTGCGCTTCTCACGCAATTGACTGAATGTTGGGCCAAAGCCACAGAGGAAGAAAAAAAAAACAAACAGAGCAAATATGGCGGACTTGGGGAGTGGTTAAGTTCAACTGAAGGAGGCACCAGCATTAAATCAAGACTATGGACACACTTTGGCATCTAATGATGTGGGACTAAGCTGGAAAAGGACTTTGCAGTGTGTAAGAAGTGTCTCTTGAAAATTTGCTACATAGGCGGCACAGCGAACATGCACAGCAACCTCATATGCCACCATCCTGAGCTTGCAGAGAAAAACTGTACCTACCAGCTTCTCAGTACAGCCAAGTGTTAACTCTTTCTTTCAGGCAAAGCCTCCATTAAGTTCACCCAGAGCTACAACAATTACACATGCAATGTGTGTTTCTACTTAATAGATTTGATCTACTTGAGATATGAGATTTCCTCATATCATATCTGAAATCTCAGTTTTTAATTTTTTTATATTTAAATTTTTTACCACTTGAAGTGTTCTTAATAGTCTTTAAAATGAAGTTTTTATCCCAAATCATGTTATCTGTGTCATTTACAAGGGCTTTTCTTCAGTAGAGCTCCAGTGGCTCATTCGCAATCCGCCTCTTAGTCGTTGGCGGAGACAGTGCTGTTCTACAACCTCCTCTTCATGCTAGCTTGCAGCCTAACATTGCCGGGGCATCAGATGTGGCAGGTAATATAGGAGCTATTCAGCTCTCGAACACCAAGGTCTTTGGGGGGATGATGGAAGTTAATATAATTAGCTTTATTGCTAACAAACACACACTTGTTCTGCCATCGTCCTCTCTACTTCTTGGGGTCTGGCCTGCAGAGAGTCCAAGCTGGGGGTGGAGCTTGGATTTGTGTCATGGGAAATTTTACTGTGTCTGAACCTGCCGTTTGGGTCTGCCTGAGGTTCACAGCGATTTAAATGCAGAAATACTCCGAAATATAGTTTTGCACTTAGTTTTCTCATGATATGTCCTCTAGCATCAGAAAATGCCATATGAACATGTAGTCAACAAGAAAAACATGACTTTCGTCTGAGTGGGTCTTTGAGTGCCCGACATCAAGGGCGGACTGGTGTACGGGGATACTGGGGATTTCCCCGGTGGGGTGGGCCGGTGGGCCGCGGCTGCAACATGAGAGAGAGGGGGCGGATCAGGTTGTGGCAGCGTCGCCTGTCAATCACGCTGCTCGAACGGTGGACAGTGCCAGACAGGGTTGTTGGAGGATTTGGAGATTGTGTAATCGGCACCGATGGAACCCAGAAGAAGAAAAAAAAATCCCTTGAGGAAAATGCGGCCCCAAGTCATAAAATTAGCGACCTGTTTGCGCAGCGTTCGGCATCAACATCTGGTTTAGTTAGAAGCAGTAGCAGCAGCCGGAGTGAGCTGACCAAACCACCTGCACCTGAGTCGTCCAGCTTCAGAAATGATGACGAGTCCTCTGACACGACAGAACATGGAGCAGCAGAGCCCGGTCAAGAAACCACTGATGTGACGATGGTAAGCTACGTTTGAAACTTGGAGATGTTACAGGTGAAAATGCTCATTTGGCTAATGTTAGTAATGCTGCCAAGTGCAAAACCTAGTGTGAGTGCGAAATTATCACTATGCACTGAGCTATAGTATGTAATGTATAACAACAACAATAATAATAATAATAATCTAACAATAATAATAACAACAACAGTAGATACTGTTATATTGTATGGTTGAAATCAACCTGTTGTCTTTGAATTGACTAGAATACTAGATAATAAATGAAATGTGAAATGGAAATGTGTGTATGGAGGCCAAAAGTGGTCATGGGGACGAAATTGCAAGATATAATTTATTACCATGTCTTGATTAATTTCTCATGTACATACTTTACAGGTATTAAACTATTTCTTTTAAATATTTACTGATGATTTATTGTATAGGTTAACTAGCTTGATTTACAAAACCAATTTCTTATGTAGAGCAAAGATGATCGAGATGTGGACAGAGGAGATCGTCCCGAAAGCAGCGTTACTATTATGGTAAGGCTGATGGCAATAATGCTTGTTTGCCATGTTTGCTATTTAGCTATTTGCACTTACCCATGCACTAACCCAAAATACTGCCATCCTTATATTTTGTTGATAGTGCAGTTTTAATGGTTTACTAACATAGTAATCAATGCTAATCGTTTTGTAGTCTGAAGATGATCCTGCTGTCAGAGATAGCAGGATAGTCAGGAACTCACTACCCTTTATGCAGCAGTGGATCATTTTACCAGGCCCAAGCCAGACACTCCAGACTTTTTTCTACATTTTCACCCCCAGCAAAAGGCAGACAAGCCTGTAGTGCGGAGAGCATTTTTTCACAAAGATGGTACAAACAGGAAATGGCTATCATACAATGAAGACACAGAAGCACTCTTTTGCTTTCTTTGCATGGCTTGTGCTAATCCTAGAGATAGCAGCTCCTTCATCACTGGCATTACTAACTTCACACACATACACCTTAGAGTCGATGAGCATGATCAAAGTGAAACTCACAGAAAATGTGCTGAGGCATACTTCCTCAGGTCCTCTATAAAGACTATTTAGGACCTTCTCATGGGACCTCAGATGTCTTTGCACAGAGAGCAAGTCCGCAGGAGGCGACAAGTGTTGGAGCGCATCATAGACGTGATGAAGCTCATTGGTAAAAGGGGTTTGAGCCACAGAGGCAAGCAGGCAGAGGCAGCATACACACTGGATGATGACACTATTGACCATCAGCAAATCCATCAGTCTGACTCTGGATCAAAAGGAGGTAGAGGTTCTCTTGTCACTTTTCTGTCCAAAACAACCATCGACTACATCATCACCATGATCCAAAATCTAATGAAGGTCACTATCGCTGCTGAAATCCGGGAATCTGGCATGTACTCCATCCAGATTGACACCACACCTGACATCACATCACAAGACCAGTGCTCTGTAGTGATACGTTATGTGACAGACATCATTCATGAGCGATTTGTAGCTGTGATCAGATGTGAAGCATCCACTGGGCTGTACTTTGCACAACTTGCGAATGAGGTGCTGGAGACCATGAACCTGGATGTGAAGCGGTGTATTGGAAGTTCCACCGATGGGGCCTCCAACATGCAAGGCCAATAAAATGGTTTTTCTGCACTGCTGTCCGAGAAGTCCCCCACCCAAGTCCATGTGTGGTGCTACGCCCACATTCTCAACCTTGTGCTGGCAGACACAACACAGTGTGTATTGGCAAGTGGATGTCTTTTTTCCTTCTTAAACAACATTGCTGTCTTCATCAGAGATTCCTACACGAGGATGAATATCTGGGAGAAGGAGAGCAAAGACCCAAGACACAGACGTCTTGCGCCCATCGGAGAAACACGCTGGTGGTCCAAAGATGTTGCTTTGTCCAAGGTATTTGGCTCTTTTGGAAAGCCAGATGGGGCCTTGTATGTTGATGTTCTCCACACCCTCTCAGCTATTAAAGATGTAAAGACCATCAGCACCACTGCACGAGTCAATGCAATGGGATATATCACCCAGCTCCTGAAATTCGAAACAATACTTACAGCTCAGATTTTCCTGAGAATTTTCCATGTCACCTCACCGGTCTCTAAATACCTCCAGACATGGACATCCTATCAGCTCACCGGATAATTGTGGCTGCAGAAACACAGCTGAAGGATAAGAGCAGAGCTTTCCAGGAGGTCAAGGCAGCAGCTGACACGTTTGTCCAGTGGGCCAACAGTCAACTACAGGAGCAAAATGAGGAGACTGAGCTGGAGGCTGAGGCCTCTCTGCCACAGAAATGTGGCAGAAAGAAGAAAACCACGCCTGGAGAGACTTGCCGAGATGAGGCTGTGACTGATGCTGCAGCATCATATGAGATTGATGTCCATAATCAAATCATGGACACCGTCTTAGGGAGCATCCACCAGCGATTCCTGAAAAATGGAACTTTGTATGCTGATCTGTCACTTCTGGACCCAAAAAACTTCAAGTGCTGCCTCTGGGAAGCCACCAGCATAAGCTGTTACCTGGCTGAACAGCTGAGCAAGTGCTTGCTGCCATTTGATGACAGAGCAACGGTTGCCAATTTACAGGGTGAGCTAATCAGTCTGGCAGGACAGTGAAAGAGGTTAAAGACATCTGTATTTTAGGAATACACAAGCAAGACAACAGAGGATGGCCCAGGCGGTGCTGAAGATGAGGTGGAGATGGTGTACAAAAAATGCTCATCGTGCAAGGACTGCGCACTATGTTGCTACCGTGTTCTGAGGCAGTACAACCTCCTCACAGATGCATACCGCATAATTGGTCTTGCATACAGGTTCCTGCTCACCCTGTCTGTCACACAGGTAGCGTGTGAGAGAAGCTTTTCGACCCTGAAATTCATTAAAAACAGGCTGAGAAGCTCCCTGTCTTAACAGCACCTTGAGGCTTTTATGCTCATGGCTACTCAACCAGATGTTTTGAAGATGCTGGATAGTGACAAAATCATAGATGGTGTTGCAGAGAGAAGTCAGCTGCTGCAAAAACTACTTATTGAGTGAGGTAATTATATGTTTATTCACAATGCTTTTTCTCTGTGACTTAACTACTCACTAATATTTATATTAGGGAATGACTTATTATTGCAGACTACTGAACGAACAATTAAAGTATGACCTATTAGTTATAACCAAGGCTTCGGGATGTTTTAACTTGTATCTCGGTGTATACTATCCCCTCATGACTTATAAAAGATACATTGCTGAAGCTACAATATACAATACAGTTACAATATATAAGTATGTGTGTATGTATGTTACAGAGGAGACTCCAGAGAGGACTGTGATACCCTCAGGACTGTGTCAACATCAATCAAAAAACAGGAAAGATTCTTCTTTACATTTGTTTATTGTTTATTTTTTATTGGATCCTCATTGAAGTTTTTAGTCAGTGGGCTATTTTCAATTTAATTCTCATTTTTATATTTTTCAGTTATTTTAAGTTAAACAATGATGCTAACCACATAGTCTTTAACTTTATCTATTTTGAAAACATTTTCATTGAAATGGGCTTATTGTTGTATTTATGTTGCCCTCTAGTTGTTTTGCATCAAAATCACTAAATGCTTTAAAATCACTTTATTGCTGTAGTTATTTTATTGTCGGCTACTTAAGGGTTCAGGTTAAAGATTACTATATTATTATGGTCCAAAACAATGTCAAATTAGTTTTTTTTTCCCTCATGGTACAGGAACATTGTGTTGCCGTTTGGTTGCTTCCCACACCGCACAGGAAGTGGGCCTTTCTGGCAATGACTCCCGGGCCAACCTCCCCTCCCCAGTCCGCCCCTGCCCGACATAATGAGGCTATGGTCCTTGTCGCAGCAGTGGCGAGTTTGAGACCCAGCCTCCATCCTTTGCTGCTCGTCATCCCCCACTCTCTCCTCCTCACATCAATCAATCAATCAATCAATCAATCAATCAATCAATCAAATTTTATTTATATAGCGCCAATCCACAACAGTCGTCATCCCAAGACGCTTTTCAAAGAACAAGAGCAGGTCTAGACCATGCTCATTGTTTGATGATCAAGAACCAACCTAAGATGGGTTTTGGGACATGTCCTGTCTCTCTTCAGCTGTCCTATCCGATAATCTAATATCCAATTAGCTGGTTTGGCGGCTGCCAGCTGCTCTGCTCTCCCTCAATACTGGATCAGCTTCAGAAACTGATCTCCCCTGCAGTCAAGCCCACACAAACACGTTGAAACAAACCAAAGTTCCCCTTTTAAGAGACGGCCTGAATGAAGAGAGGATTTCAGAGACCAGCTTCTGGTTCATTTCTGAAGTTATGGAAAGGTGCTGCTCAGAGATGCATGTCTCCTTTATTAATAGTATAAATGATCAGCAGCTATTTCTGTCGGTTTGGTGATCTCCTCCTTTGTCTCCCTCTTTTTTCCTACCTCCCCCTCATCCTCCTCTTTCAGCACACAGTTGTATTTTCAACTAAGAGTTAACCAAAGTACTTTAAATCAGCTCTGTATAGGTAAATGTGAATCTCAAATGAAATTTGATTTATTAAATGAGAGTTATGTTTTGTGTATCAAATATACTTGTCTGGTAAAATACACACCTCTTTTTCCTGTGTAGAATTAATCTTTATGACATTTATAAGGCCAAGACATACATTCATAGGGTTTTTTTAAGGCCTGAACTTGGAAAAAAAAAACATATGAAGAAAGATCTCAAAGCAGTAACTCAAACAGCTAAGCCACAGCTGGTAGGATGCCACATGCTGTCATACTGCCAACACAGGGACATCACCATTCCTTTAGATCTATATTGATCATCATAATAGTGCTCCTTTACTTATAATTTATAACATCAGATTGCAGGAGTTTTTTTCTCCCTCCCCCTCCTTGTCTCATTCCTCCTCCCCAGTCTCTCTTAAACACACTTTCTGTTCCTGAATTTACATTAAAGGTAAATTATTAAATGTTGGAAGGAAAGTTTTCTAGAAGCTTAACCTCTAAAACTAGCTTTGCATCGGGAAAGCAAACAGTCCTCTCGGTGAAGGGTAATACATAGAATATGATTTCCTGATTTAAGACCCTGATTTTAATGTCCCGTTCAGCCACACATCCATTTAGAAAGTTTCCGCTCATCGCTGGTGTATTTCAAGTTGACCCTCCACCTTTTTGGTCATTAACACATTTCCTTTTGCAACAGCATTAACACGAAATGTCATTTTCACAGGACAGCGGCTGCACAGCTTAGCCACTTATTTTCCTTTTTCTTTTCCCTCCTCCTTGAGAGGGTCAGGAGTCAGCCTGCAGAACAGCACCTGGGAGCTGAATAGGATGGAGTGCCTCATCGAGCATACTTCAACAGGGCAGAAGTCATCCAGTTTCTGTCATCAGAGCACTGTAATTCTAACACCAGCTCTCACACGGATAAATATTCAAAGTTGAAGCTGGGGCCAAAGCAGCTAACAGGGAATAGTTTACACGATCATCATGGCTGTAAAACAGAATTAGCTCCTCATTTGTCTGTTAACGCTCCTGCTTTTCTACAAGGGCTCATTGACTGCAGTTCAGCTCTGCCTGTGAGGTATTTAACCTAGAACTGTTTTAAGTTAATGGGAGAGGGAAAACTCTGTCATTTGCACTCCTAATGCTCTCGACAATCACAGAACTGCCCATTTCATGGTAAGGGTTAACCATGAAATCATGACACATTTCTTTTTTTTTTTTTTCTTTCCTTATAGGGCCAATGTTTGTAAAACACTACAGTAATAATATAAGGACAGAAATTACTTTACAACCCTGTGGTCTGTTTTTATGCACTAGATTGAAGTCTATTTCAGATTGATCCGTTCTTTAAAATAGTTTAAAATCAGTCTATAAAAGTTTATGCTGTTTCAAGTTTAAAAGAACAGTTGGATTATAAGTCATTGGCATAAATTTTGTCCAGATAGTGTCTCAAATTGAGCAGAGAGTTGGTTCAGACAGGCTGCATGGACTTGACTTCAGCCAGTTGACAAATATCAAAGTCATGACTTCTTCAAATATTCTTATTTTCTGAGCTGCACTAGT